TGACCCGAGTCAGATGACGATGATGAGGAATCGCTCGAGTCATCGATTTTCTCAGAAACTCTTCTCCGTCGGACACGCTTCCTAGGTCGTGGTGGCATCTTGTTGAGGTTGTTTGTAATCTCTGCTTGAAGGAAACCCGCCTGCTGGGCTTCAAGCAGAGGAGGGGAGTGTCGATATGCAATATCAATTTATGCAATATGCACCAGTCGAGACCTGGCCTGTGCATAACAAATCATACCTTTGCTTCTCGGCTGGTCTCAAGCTTACAAAGCAGCCTCTCTTCGAGTGTGTTACAGGGAACAATCTTGTAGAGAGGCTTAGGCCCAAAGTTGAGTTTGGTTGGTGGCATCATTTTGCATTTACTTCAATTACCCTTTTGAAAAAGATTACAAAAAATCCCAAAAGATAGAACTTTTGCTTGTTAAGATGTGCATCTGTTGGTCCATTCCATTTTCTGTACCCTTCTAATCTTGATCTTGTAGCCACAAACAGAAAACAGAGCAAAATGGCTTGTTTTTTCAATTTACATGCGGGTTTTGACTCAAATTTGGCTTATGTAATACATAAAAATGTTGAAAATATTGCATTTTCAAGAAAATAAATAAGATACTTCCATCCTCAAAATTGAAATATTGAGTAGATGGAAATGTAAGGATAGTTTAGGCCATTATCCCAGCCCCCAAAAAAGTCAACCTTATGGCAGGTTGTGAGATGTAGGTTGGAAAGAGGGTGTTCTACACCAAAGCAATTTTCTGATGTCACACTGTGAACTCAAGATTCCTCAAAAGTCCCTCTGAAAATTACAGAGGCACCACTGCTGTTTCAGCACCTCTGCCAAATTCAGCACAAGGGACTTGCGTCAAGTTTGGGCTGGTCTACATTGAAGTAGCTCAAGTGGGGACTGGCCAGAAGTGCTGATCCATTTTGAAACACTTCTAATTGGAGGGACTGCGCTTTCCCTCAGGGACCCTCCAAAGGACGGCATGAGGTAATTAGGAAAATCACCTTTTTCAATCATGTGTAGCAGCACCATTTTCAAGCTGATGATCATTCACCCAAAACCAGCCCTAATTTGAGTTGATGACTTCCAGGAGACTTCTGTTGAGGGTCATTGGGAGTTGTTGATTGAAATTTAAGAGTTGGTTTTCTAACCCCCATGAACTAAGAGGCCAAGTAAAATCAAACAAAGATGAGGCACAAGGAAAGTTCACATGGCCCAATTAGGTGTGTGGGAAAATTCTAGATAGAAATGAGGCAGTGAGACTATAGCTGTTTGGGAACCCATCTGGAAGTCAAAAGGTACATTTGCCCCTCTGTTCTAGCTTAGATCACAGGAGTGAATGAGGTCCC